AGGGCGATCGAAAATCACCCCGACCACCTTCTCGCCCGTGGAGTGGCTGGTAGCGATGTTGAGGAGCTCCTTGGTGGTTCGCGAGCCCTTACGTCCCAGCTTGTGAACCAGGGACTCACAGGTGGTCACGGACAGGAAAGCTCCTATGATGTCGGCGTCGGCGACGTTGGGCAGCTCGTTGCACTACCGGAAGAAACACCGAATGTACCCACAAAGAGTTTCTCCAGACTTCTGTTGATAGTTTTTGAGATCCTATGGGTTGCCAGGACGCGTGTATGTGTCGTGGAAGTTTCCCACGAAGATCTGTTTTAGGTCCGCCCAACTTTGGATTCGATTGTGCGGAAGGTGTTCCAACCACGTTCGCGTCGAATTGGCCAGGAACAATGGAAGGTTGAGGATAATGAAACTATCACTATCCACTCCACCAGCTTGGCAAGCAAGCTGATAATCCTCAAGCCATAGTCCGGGGTTTGTTTTCCTAGAGTATTTCAGGATGTTGGTCGGCGGTCGGTACCGCGGTGGGAAGACGACATTGAAGATGTGTCAGCCAAAGGCCTGAGGTCCTAGCAAGTCGGGGCTCGGGCTTCGGTAACTCGCCAATGTCATAGTGTTTGCCATGACAAGGGTGGTATTCGCGGCTAGCCTTCTCCCTCTCATCGCTGCGGGCATGCCTACGGGCATCCAGGGTGTTGCGCGTGTCATGGTGGAGGCTGAGACACTCATGCACCAGGTACATGGCGCGCGGCCTGCTGCCTTGCTACGCCTGGTGGACTGACACGTCCCTATCGGGTCACTCTGAGGGCGCGCGCTGGCTGGCGTCGAGCTCGCGTCATTGGGACAGCAAGCTTTTGGCTTGCTGCGCCGCCGCACGCTTGAGTAGCGTGCGAATCTCGCGATGGGCCCAACAATCCTCTAGTGTTGCGGGCTTCGAAAGCCCTCGGAGCAAGGCCGCCACGACAGCGACGTTCTGGCTTGCCTGGATGAAGTGTGGGAGGGCTTCGTCGTCCTCGATGATCCTCCAGTTCACGTCGTGGGCCACGGCGTGTGCACGCCCACCGTCTCCATGGCGCTCAATCTCTTGCTTGAGCTCCGCGCGTTCCTGCTCGAGCTGAAGTTGTGCTTCTTTGAGCTCTTGGTGCCACGCCCTCAGCTGCTCTACCCGTAGGCGAGGTGGGGCCCCTGCATTCCCCTTGACCTCATCGTCGAAGTCATCTGTTGGGGTAGCCCCTCCCTTGTGGATGCTTTTAATGTATCCCTCGGAGGTACCTGCCATGAAACATTCTCGCGAGGGGTGATGGCTCCCCCTGCTAGAGTCAGAGTCAGAGGGTGACTCCGATTCTCCTGCGAGAAGGTTATGGAAAGATTCCACGACGTATTCGGTTATGGGGGCGTGCGCTGCGCCACAAGGTGGCCAATGGTCTCTGGGGCGTTGTGCAGACCGAACGGGAGCACTGTCGGGGCGCTCCGGATGAGGTATTCTAGGGAGAGTGGCTCTCCTCCTGCAAGCTGCGTCATGACGTTGGCGAACGAGAAGGTGAGGCGACGTAGGTCCTCCCAGGATGGTCAGGGTCCTAGGAAGGAGCCAAGCTAGCGCTCTAGCCTCCTGTAAACAAAGCCGAGGAGCTGGTCACTCCAGGGGGCATGGGCCTCTGGTGCGTGCAGCTATAGCTCCTCAAACATCTTGGTGATCGCGTCGAGGCTGGCGGAGTGGAGAGGCTGGACGGCGGCAGGAACCTGCGCCAGCTCTCCCTCTGTCGTAATGATGAATTCTAGGTTCTCGAAGCGCACGTGAGCACCCGGGACCCAGCTGACGCCGTGACTAGCCTTCCGAGGCCTGATGTGGACGTCGAGACGGGCAAAAAGCACCTACCTGGCGTGTCAACTGTCAGTGTATTTGGACCACCGACGAGTAAATTTGCATTTGCATGTCTGGCTCAGATGGTGTGCTCGGAGGACACAAGGGTTTATACTGGTTCAGGCTAAACGTCCCTATGTCCAGTTCGTAGCTGCTTGTGTTACCGGCACTTGGTTTGCGGTAGGGGTTACAAACAGGCGAGAGAGGGAAAGGATCCCAAGTCTCTGTTGGAAGGAGTGAACGGGTGCTGAGAGCTCGATTGCCGCTCAGCCGTGTGCTCGTGTTGTGCTCATGTGTTCCCGTCTCGTGTTTTTCTCCCTCTCCCTCTGCCCCGCGTGGGGTGCCCTGCTTCCCCTTTTATAAGCGAAGGGGAAGCGTGGGTTACAGAGGAGGAAAAGGAGAAGAACGAGAGAGAGAAGAAGGCCTCTAGGGCTGCAGGTCCTTCTTCTCCTTCATGCGGGTCCCACTGATCCTGTAGATGTCAATAGGGACGGCTCCATGTCACGTCTCTGTTCATCACTGGCACCATGCGCATGCGTCATCTGCCGGTCATGGCGTTCCACTCCGTCCCGACGGACGTCGTGGTGAACTACCGCGCCTGTCAGCGTCTGTACGAGGATTAGGCAGAACAGCACCGGCATGTCCAACATTGTTCTTGATGTGAATCCCCAAGTATGGCCCATCATGGCCATGGGTTACATCGAGGAGTGCCAGCCTCTTCCCTGGCGTCAGAGTTTTGATCCAGGCCCATACGCTTGGACCTGGAGTGGTTGGTGGCGGTATGGGTCCCCGTCGGACGAGACGGAACCCACGTCCTTGGGGTCGGGCGAGACGGAGCCCGCACCCAAGGGGTCGGGCGAGATAGAGGCCACGGCCTCAGGCGAGACGGAGCCCGCGTCCTCGAGGTCGGGCGAGATGGAAACCGCACCCAAGGGGTCGGGCGAGATGGAAACCGCACCCAAGGGGTCGAGCGAGACAGAGCCCGCACCCAAGGGGTCCGGCGAGACGAAGACCGCGTCCTTGGGATCGGGCGAGATGGAGACCGAGTCCTTGGGGGTCGGGTGAGACGGAGCCCGCGGCCTTAAGGTCGGGCGAGACGGAGCCCGCGGCCTTGGGGTCGGGCGAGACCTTTTAATACGTCTTGAGCCATCCGGGGAAGTCAGCGTGGGCGCTAACTTCCTTTCTTTGGGTATCTTTAGTATCGATACCCGACAATGATGCTTGATTTGCGATTTTGTTTTATTGCTAACTCATAATATCATTGGTGTCTTGAAGCTTATATGTCATCAAATTCGTGTGAAAATTGTTGCTGTTACGACTATAGCAAATATACTCCATCCGTTCCAAATTATAAGTCGTTTTGACTTTTTGGTACATAGAATTTGTTATGTATCTGGACATTTATTATATCTAGATCCATAGCAAAATGGATCTATACAAAAAAATCAAAACAACTTATAATTTACGACTTATAAGTTAGAACGGAGGGAGTAAAGATAAGATTTCGTTGCCTCTGCGCTCGAGTGAGCAACAGAGTAAGGCCCTGTAACGCGTGGGCGTGGGCTGTCAGTGGCTTGATCTCTTAGCGATCACACGGGTCTAGCCAAGATTTATTTATGATTAGATGTGTTATTATTTCGTTCTCCAACGAAGCAGCCTAGCAGAATTGCACAAATGAACAACCAACTACAAGGTGTAGGTGCAAATTTCCATAGAGGATAGCAAGTGGAAAAATAATCAGTTTTAGCAAGTCAGAGAGAAGTTGTTCCTAAAGTCTTGAGCCCAAATCATTTCATGCCTCTCCTTGTCGCATGCCGCGGCAAAGCGCAAAACATTCTAAAATCCCTCCTTACGGGGGCTTGCAATTGCAATGCACCCCTCTTTCTCTGCGGGGCTTTGTGGAAAGCACCCTTCTTTCTCTCCGGGGCTTTGTGGAAACAAGCACCCCTCTTTCTCTCCGGGGCTTTGTCGAAACCGGAAGCTACCTAACGCGGTTAGCTTCCGGCCCACTATGACCTATCCTCTCCTCCTCATCTCCTTGGTCTTCCTCCCCCGCTGCCCCATCGGCCACAGCTGCCGCCGCGCCGCCGGCCCGCGTCCCTACATAGCATCCTGACTTCTAAATTGCTCTGATAAATTTCTAACAGATCATGTGATCTGATCATGTCGAAGAGTTTAGCGCAAGGTTCTTGACGAGGAATCTTAAGTGATACCATAGCTGCTGAATCTACATTATATAGATAGACAACACAGTCACACTGGCACGAGCAAGTATGGCGCAGAAGCACGCGCCAGAGTTTCAGTATACACACAAAACACGATTATTTGAGCATTGAACAACAGCCAGATGTTCACAATGAAATCACTGAAAAAGCCTCTGTAAATGTATACCATGACCGCGCTAAATGTTTACCATGACTGATGTTCAACAAAACATTCATTATAAAGCAGTTAACATTTTTTTAATTAAAAGACATACGGCAACTGCTTGGATTTGCATGTGCAGGTCTAACTAAATGTCTGGAGGCCGAGCACCTTTCTTGTAAGTCTAAAGATATTTCATCTGACTTCTTTCATGAGGAACCACATTCTGAGAACACACGTCGAGGAGGGAGGAATGAAATGTAATGCAGTTCAGAGGCGTTTCTATACAACAGGGTGAAGCACCTCCCCGCATACTTTGTAACTTAAAGCTTTCTGTAAAACTTAAGGTTACCCCAAAAAAAGTCTCAACTGATACATGCAATCCTCATTGTTGTTGCAAACTCTATGATGAAAACATAGCAAGGGATTCACAGAATCACAGTTGAGATTACACATTAAATTAAAACATAGAAAAGCAACACATTAATAATACATGAGTTTAAACATATAGTTCACACTTGAGATTACACACTGAATTAAAAAAGCAACGCATTAACAACTGAGTGACCACATAAAAAACAACACACATCAGCACCGGATCCACGAAAAACACAGTTTGAGATTACACCAAACTAAAACATAGAAGCAGAAGTCACACCTGAATGAAAACATAGGAACTCCTTTATCTCATGATTTTAGCATTTCACAGCCAAAATGCCACTGGATCCTGACAGATGGAATCAATTCTTGCTTCATGAGGCAAGCTGTAGCAACGAACCTTTCAGTGTTTAAGCTTGAGGTCTCCTTTTGTGTCATAGCTGAGGGAGAAGGTCTTCAAACGATACATAAAGCGACCGCCTTGGGGCCCGCCTCCCATAAAATCCAATTCATCAGCCCCCGGCGGCACCCTGAGCTGATCCTGATCAGTCGGTGTGTTATCAGTGCAGACACACTCCACAAGGCAGAATTTGCCCTGGCGCATGTGCACAAGGGTGGCACTTACATGCTGCCCCTCAGCTGGGTCCTCGTTGTACACCTTCTTGGTGCACTTGAAATCAGGGGAAGGGTGCAATCCTTTGCCAGTGTCGCCAGTCATGGTGCTGGCCATGGTGCAGCAGTAGAGATACCCAAGGGTCGCCAGGTCTTTGGAGAGACCGACAAAGCCCTCCAGGGCGGGGTCATAGTGTCCATGGCCGGTGAAGGGGAACACCCAATCACCGCATAGTTTCCACACATGCTCCTTGGTGTCGAAGATGAAGGTGACGCCACTCTTGGTACTGACGAGGATGCATCCATCGGGTTGCACGCCGTAGGAGGAGACATCCGAAATCGAGAATGGAGGATAAGTGACTCGCCCCCACACCCACAGTCCACTGGGTTCCGGCTTCCGGAGGATTTCAAATGTGCCAATATCCAGAGCGAATAGCCTATCATCACTGACGGGGATGTAGATTGGAAAAGCCGGACCGTTTGGTGGAGGTTCAAAGGTGATGGTCTGATCCTGGACGTCGATAGTTGGGACTCCGCCTAAGATATCACCAGACGCGCCTAGATGCATCGCCATGATCTTTTTTTTATTGGCTCCCTTCAAATACAAGCTGTAGCATCTGAACTTACAAAGAAACTCAACACCCATTCACTCCACACGCACGCACTCACACCACAAGTAAGCTAGATCTACAACTTATATCTAGGTTTACAAGATACAAGGCTGAGATATATGACAGTTGTGACTCGTCCGTGCGAGGCATCCGAAAACTACCTAAAGGGAACTAAGGTGGTGTTTGGTTGCCCCTCCTAAATTTTAGTCGTTGTCCCATCGAATGTTTGGATACATGCATGGAGTATTAAATATAGACTAATTACGAAACTAATTGCATAGTTTGTGACTAATTTACGAGACAAATCTTTTAAGCCTAATTAGTCCATGATTTGACAATGTGGTGCTACAATAAACATGTGCTAATGACGGATTAATTAGGCTTAAAATTCGTCTCGTGGAGTACTGACGGATTATGTAATTTGTTTTTTTTATCAGTATCAGTATCCGAATACCCCATGCAACATCCTCCCGACATATCTTCTAAATTTTAGTCACTGAATCCAAACACTACCTAAATCCCGGTGAGCACCAGCCTTTGAACGCTGGTGGACAGGCTGCACACCGCAAGCCGTTGCCATCCGAGCTAAAGCTCGGTCTCGCATCGCCATGATCTTGGTGCCAAAGGCTGACGTGAAGAACTGGGGAAACCCACGCGGCGCCCGGATGCGCATGAAAACCGGCAAGGGCTTGGACTTAGCGCCTTTGCCTATGTCGTAAAACATACGGACTTTATCCTAAAAGAAAAGGAGGAGGAATCCTAATCCTAGTCCGTTTATATGTTGTCTCTTACCAAACTCCTAGGTCTTGGCAGAACTATATATACGTGAGAGCTCTATGTTCTAATTATCAATATTCAGAGAAATAAAGAATAGTCTTCCTATCATGTGTCTATTTGTTCTCTACATTCATCTACTGTGTTGATCATGAGAGAAGGAGAGGAAAAGGTCCTAACCGCTGGTAACATGTTTTATAACACGTTATCAGCACGACAAACTCTACGTCGACATCGCCGTTGAAGCTGCAGTCGACCTCGACACGGATGCTCGTGTCAACATCTACACCGCGACTTCTTCGACGACGTCGACATCCTCGACGTTGTTAGCGGAAGGGATCTACTATCTCTACCTGTTGTCGATCTGCACTACATCAACACGCACTGTCGCTGTAAAGCAGACAGTTCTACGACAATGCCAAACGCCCTACGCAGTATGTATCTACTAACCACTACCCTACGCGGCACGTGAGGTAGATCAAATTGGCATCCTTTACATGTATGAAAGAATCGCATCTTGGAGCGTATGTCTCGACCATCGAGTTGGGTTGTGCACTAATTATTTCTACATGAAGTAGATATATGTACAAAAAGTATGTGCATAAATATGTATATGCAATTGCATCTACAGAGTTGCATCTAGGGTTAAAAAAACAGTACAAACTAATGGTGTACACGAAGTACATACTATTTTTGTACATGAAGTACACACGTGTATAAATACTATGTACGCTACAGACACTTGCGACAGTGGGTACCATGGAACTTGCACATCTCGGAATATCATGCTCCAGCACGAGCTTATCACGCCGCTGACAAGGGCACGGGGCATCAACGTGCCTTACACGCCGCTATAACGCCTGCGTCGGCACCCGCGCTTGCGAACCAACTCATCGGTACTGAGCTCCTAAAATTCTTATCACATCGAATGTTTGACACATGTATAGAGTATTAAATATAAACTAATTACGAAACTAATTGCACAACTTGAGACTAATTTACGAGACGAATCTTTTAAGCCTAATTAGTCTATGATTTGACAACGTGGTGCTACAGTAAACATGTGCTAATGACGGATTAATTAGGCTTAAAAATTTCATCTCGCAAATTAGCCTCCATCTATGTAATTGGTTTTATAATTAATCTATATTTAATGCTCCTTATTAGTATCTAAACATTCGATATGATATGAATTTTAGGAGCGACTAAAGAACCAAACACCCCCTGCTACCGTGTCTCTTCTGCACAGCCGTGGCCGAGAACAACACTATGGGATGACGTAAACAAATCCGATATGTCGTGTCTTTGTTTGCACCTGTCGTGTACACACATGGATAATCACCGCATGCAAGAGTTGTTCCATGCAGCGCCGCGCACACGCATTGCTTTCAAGCACCGCAGCTAGCCCTAGTTGCAACTTGCAGTTGTCGCTCCTCCCGGCCTGAACGCCGACCCATACGCACCACTCGTCACCCATAGATTGTAGCTGTCGTACACGCAAAAAGTGCAGCTCCCGCTGCCGAGGCCTATGGCTCGCACGCCGTCGCTCCTAGTCCTAGCTCAGCAGTCATGAACGATTGTGTATGCCTTGCGGCGAGACTGAAACCACCCATGTAACGGGACATATGAGCCAGGAAAAGACCGAGACACTCTTGCCCTCAGAAGAGGCAGGCGATTTGGGATTCGAAAAGAAAATTGAGAAAATCCAGAAAATAAGAGAGTTCGTATTAATCTGAAATTTTTATGTTAGACCCATGAATCCTACAGATTCTGCATATAGATCTTGTATTCTTGCACAGTGTCTCGTGCTCTCTGGAAATTATGGAATTAAGATGTAGCTCTACATAAATTTTAGTTTTTACAGCAATTTTTTCTGAATATCAACCCTAAACCCTCTGTTTATGCATATTTACTATATTTCTTATACCAGCATGTATAAGAGTTCATATACAACTCTGAATCTAGAGAATGCTAGTGCAATCCCGTTATGAATTTTAGACCATGTTTCTAGTGTAATTGTTCAAAAATTTTATTCTTGCAATTACATGGTATAAAGTATATGGGTTCTCTAAGTCCTGCAGACCTTAGACTTATCACTTTTGAGAGGCTAATATTTGTTATCCCTAGCATAATGATTTTTTGGATGCACGAATGCTTGGTATTAATTCTAAAAATTTGTATATACCATAATCCTGAAAAGTGTTAGGATGCTTTTAAGAATATTTTGTATAACCATCCACTATCTTTTTGCACATTGCTACTTATTTACACGCAGTAAACCTATACGCACATGATTATTCTAGTTATAATGATATATATGCATATCTTCATGAAGAATGAATATCCTGGACTTGCCCTGAATGATAGAATTATATAGCCTGGTCATTGTTAAATCCTAGTATGATATTCTACTACTACTGAAGTGGAGTAGACTCAGGCACTATAGTTCCTGGTATTACTCTTAAGAATAAGTACGTGGCCATAATAAATCTCAAAGGTCTTGTGCGACTCGCTGAATGAGAAAATTTAGAAGATATCCCATATTATGATTGCATAATGTCAGAAATATTGAAAATTGAATTTTCAAGCTTACATGACCATACGAGATATGTATGCTGCTCTATAAACAAATACAATGGCCTGAAGCTTTGTATTAAATGTCATAGAAAACAAGATGGTAAATAAGATTTTATCGATGAATATTCTCGAAGAAATGTCTCTTATATATAGAATATCAAAAAGCAATATAATACATGAAGTATTTAAATTTACCACCAGAAATTACTCAAATAGAAGTTGAGTTAGAATTTTTAGATAGCTCTATCAACCAACCAGGATATATGACTTGCATATGTTGCACTCCTAGAAGGATCATGATCAGATATCACCACTATGAAATAAAGCATGCATGAAGCTGCTAAATGTTAAGCATAGAAGCTAAGACATGTAAGAATGGATAAGAATTTTTAAGTTTCTCTAGAAGAACTTAAATCATGTGCTTACAGACTTATTTTGTCTTTAAAATTAATATCTAAAAGTATTAGTAGTAGCGGTGGTGCATTAAGTTTTGATTCCCGTTGAATTAGGTGGTTCTCATGTACTTATAGAAGAGTTAACAGTTTATTTATTAGTCTGAAGGCTAATACGAAGCATTTAATATTCTTAGTTGTAATTTTTACTTGCAGTAATATATGTTAATCTTGCATGGAATGAATTATGTTTTACATATAAACAATTGCCTATTGCTTATCTAAATAAGTTTTGCATCAATTTTATCCACAAAGATGCCTCAGTTAACCATGAAGGTTACAGTTCTTTATGCACTACTACCATGGAGGTAGAAGGGAAACTGAAGTTCCTAGAAGCACATGAACAATTGGAGTATACTGACATATTAACTGATCTTAGAAGGATCAATTTAGCCAAGAAATTGTATAATCCTAATACTAAATTTTTTCTCTCCTCAACCGGTTGAAACCGGGCCGCGGTGTCCTGTGGCCTAATTTCAACGAACCAGAGTATCTTCTGGCAAATTGCTCAAAACAGGGTGCCCGCCAGCAAATGACCATCACTTTGGATGTCCGCCAGACAATTGTCCCTTAATACTTTAGCCTAAGAACTAGAAGTTTATGTCTTACCCTGAATGTGTTGTTGTACACTGAATAGTACACTGGATATGTGAATTTCATGCCACAACCAATGAATACTGGAAGTATAATTGGATTCTATGAAACATTAGAAATGATTATTCATAGATGATGCATGTAGCAGATTACTACTTGAAGTAATTATGGCATGAAAAAAGAGAGAAATTTTAGGGGAAGGCATGAGAAAATGTGGGTAATATATATTTAATAGACATAGCCTTTCTAAATCTATCTTTAAGTGCATGTATCAGGACTTGAAGTCCTAGCCGCGTTCCTTCCGACCGAGTTAACTTTCTCTACATTGCACTAATTACAAGCAAGCTTGTAGATTTGCATTTTATCGTTATCTATTACGTTAGATTGAATACCAACATTCCACATTACACTCGAATGTGTATCACTATGTTGTGCTCTCATCGAGCTGCAACTATCTCCACCCCTGCATGAATATTAGTATAGCAGCTATATTTATAGCTAGTAGCTACCTTGCACTTTCCTCATAATTAGATTGGCTAGCTAGTAAGATATGTCTTTAGTTCCTG